GGTAGTACGGGTTGGGTGTTTGGTACTGGGTATGTGGCGGGGTAGGGTATTGGGCTGGGTGCGGGTAGTGGGCCACATGGGCCTGGGCCGGGTAGGGGAGTAGGGTCGTGGGCCTAGAAGGCCGAGTGAGGGGGTGGGGAACTGCCAGGTATTTGGGCCGGGTTGTCGCTGATTCGGGCCGCCACGTCCACGTCCACGGCCACGCCCTCGATAGCCGCCAGAGTTTCCCCGATTTGTGCCGCCAAAACTGCCTCGTCCAGAGTTGCTGCCCTGCCGTGACTGACTGCCGCCCGTCGAGGAACTGCCGCCGCCGTTGAAGCTGAGGAGGGCGGTTGACGGGCCGGCGCTGAGGAGGGCGGTTCGACCAGGAGGAGGGCCGAGCGGACTTCCAAGAACGTCGGGAACGGATTTTGGTACTGCAAAAAAGTGGACCTGTCCCCGAATGTCGTGCGGCAATCCTTGAAGAACTTGTAGTACAAGAGCGTGCTCGGTCACCGGAGCGTCGACGTCATCAAGGTAGTCGGCTAGGTTTTTGAGAGCATGGCAATATTCATTTATTGTCTTCGTCCCTTTGACGGTGGTGCGGAAACGGTGCTCCAGTTGCATCGCCCGGGCGTGCTTATTATCATGGAACAATTTGTAGATGGCTTTCCATAGAGCAGCGGCGGTGGGGCTGTTTGCAAGAATGAGATCGGAGACCTCGTCGGAGACGGTAGACAAGATCCATCCTTGAAGTAGAGCGTCGAATTGATACCATTCTGCATCATCAGCCGATTTGGCGATGGTGGTCCCGTCAAGGTATCCCAAGAGATTGAAGCGGAGAACGAGGAGGCGAAAGAGTCGGCTCCATTTTTTGTAGTTTGGTTCCGAGATGCTAAGCTGGACGGGAATATGGAGCTTGATGTTTGATATTGTTGTGAAGGCAAGATGGGGAGATTTGATGGTGTTGTTATCGTCGGAGGTGACGGAGGATTTTTCGGCCATGGTTGCCGGCGAGGGGGGACTGCCGAAGAAGGAGAGGAGGGACGGCAGAGAGAGGGAGATCGCCGAAAGAGAGAGAAGGCCGAGAGAGGGCTAGGGTTTGAGAGGGAGCCGAGATGTTTTAATGCTCTGATATCATGAAGAATGAATATTTTCTATTGATTATCATGTGTGAATACAAGGGATATTATATAGTAGAGTATTCCTAGTTATAATAGGAAACCTACCATGTTAGGAATCCTTAATTAATAAGGACTATACATGTATGGAAACTACAAGATACTAAATATATACTTTATATATTTAACAGAATTGGGATCACGGTGGTCTTTAAGTCTAGAGGTTGAGAAAAATTCTTAAATGGTACAAAAATAATACAGAGTCTGGAGTAATATTTCTCCAAAATGAGTAGAACTAGTAGCATTAATGAGAAGGATTTAAATGTCTTTTGTTTTATATCGTTGTGCAGTTCTTTTTTTAAATTTATTGTTTTATTGATGATAACGAAAATTTCTAAGTGTGGGATTGCGAGAAGGAGGGTGTATTTATCAACTTTAAGAGTGTGAAAAATGTACTCTGGAATAATTAGTGATTAATTCATCCCCTATTTTCTCTTACAATTAATGCCTTGTTCCAATCCAACACAATTTCAATATCTTTGCCACCTCAATATCACATGTTCTTTCTTATTGTAATGTCCTTCACACTTTTTTCCTCTAACGTTCATCGATTTATATATTTTCGTGACATTGTAAGCATTTAATATTTTCTTATTGTCAATCAACGTCCACTTCAAACGAACATTGTTCACAATATTTAACGTCCTTGTAACGCCCATTTGTCAATTCAAGAGAATAAAGAGGCCATGGTAAACTCAATTATCCTAAATTGACATTATAATTAAACATATTATTTTCTTAATTCACGATAAAAATTTGCAATGTATAACAAAAAATTGTACAACAACAACAACAACCCAGTTAAATCCCACAAGGTCTGGGGAGGGTGTGTGTACGCAGACCTTGCCCCTACTCGAAAGTAGAGAGGCTGTTTCCAAAGAGACCCCCGGCTCAACGTCGAAAGTTGCATTGCTTGACTAACTGCTACTTCATTAATTAAAGTAGAGCAGATAGTTTAGAGATCCATTTTGATTTATTCCATCACATCCCAAAGCCAAAAAATAGTGAAATTTTGGCTCCATCTGAGATGATGGAAACTAACAAAAAATTGTAAAATAATGAAATTATACGGAGTACAAAAAAAATTTGTAGTTCAAAACAATTTTTAAGTATCTACTCCGTATATTTCATTTTTTTAGTTCTACAATACATCATCACATTTAAAGATATTCAATTGAAAAATAAGTGATGACTAGTAACCTTAAATGTGAAATTGTATTAGAGAAGCAAGGCCTATTTGTGAATAATGTTAGATATTAAAGTTAACGTTTTGAATAAAATTTTACGGTGCATATTACTTTGAAAATGCTAAGTGCTGGTCATAGATTGTCTTCTCAAAACATTAACATTAATCTCTAATGCTATATCTATACAAGCCCACGGTGGGATACGAAAAAGCTAGTGTTTAAAGACTAGAAGAAATGCGGCTAATTGCTTATTAATCCGAATGCGGCTAGTGGTTTTTTTGTTAAGCGTGACATTAGTGCCTGTCATTCTGGTACAAAAAGAAAGCCTCAATTCTAGTAATTTTGCCTGCCTCCTTTTTTTCGTGTGACTCGGTAATTCCCAACTATATATATGCTCATCTATTTTTAAATTATTACTATTGTCTTTTGAATAACGTATTAAATTTTATTTTCATTAAATTAATTTTATGTTTAAATTAGTATAAAAATAAAAAGTACAACTTACATAAATAGCTTTTAAAAATCATATAAAAAATCTATAAACAATATAAAAATATCTTCTTAAAAAGAGAGAATAAAAAGGCGGAAAAATGACTATTGGCAAATATGGAATCCTCGTCTAAAGGAACCTCTAACCATTTTCCAATTTTAAGAAAATATCTGAAGATATTTTAGATAGGGAGGAGTCCATTGCAAGCAAAAGTGTGTGACAATAGTTAAATACGAATATATAACATCTCCAAAAAATAAAATTTTTAAAAAAACAATCCAGGATAACATTTGAAAAATAAAAATGAAAATAAACAAAAATAAATACTCGTGATATCCATTTCGAGATGAAGAAAGAAAGAATATGTTTGGAATTTGGAATGTACATTTGCTAATTTTAATTGTCAAGTTTAATTTTGAAAAACTAATATCGCATTCCCATCACAAGCTATTAAAATCCCACAACACGATATAATCTGGGGAAGATGTATATGCACATACTTCTCCAAATTAAATAAGAATTACTATTCGGTTAACGCAGGGGTTCTCATGACATTGGAATCTCACGTCATGAGATGACTCGGGGGCGCTACAGTGTTCTCTTCATAAAATTGACGGTTCATACTCCTCCTAAATTTCCTGATAAACTGCCCCACCTCACCTCGACCAGAACACATCTTCACTCTCTTCAATTGTACTCCAAAATTAATTTTGACTTTGGAATCAATTTTGACTTTGCACGCGATGGGTGAAGGTTAGGGATAGCAACAAAAAAATTACTTCCCACAAATTCCATAGCACCGCTATTACTTCACTGTAGTATAGTGTGATTGAAATGTGCCATATTTAAATGTCAATCCTATTGAATCTCATTTAGCATTCATTCTATATTTTGATTTGAAATCATTTACAAGAAAATGAGACAAATATAAATATAAATAAAAAAATGTGATATGTCGCTAATACGTGCAATAGTTAACACACTCCCTTTGATTATAATTACTTGTCTTCTTTCAAATAATATGTAAAATTTTTTATCTTTTAAAATAATTTTAGTTACAAATTTATATGAAAATAAAAAAAATTAATTTATATATTTAAAAACTATATCATAAATTTTAAGAAACCATTGGTGACATGTTTATTTCCATTGCTCTGTGGAGCCAAAGATCCACTATTTTTTGACTTTGAAATGTGATGGAATAAATCAAATGGACTCTTATAAATATTTATGTTTCTTGCAATTGTGAAGTAACACTTAATCAATGCAACTTTCGATGCTTATGATGGGTTATCTAGAAATAGCCGCTCCATGCTATAAACATTGGAGTCAGAGTGCGTACATCCGACGTCCTTACCTTGCAATGTTGAGACTCTCGAATACTCGATTAATGTTTGGAAAATGTTATTTGTACTCCAAGAATTTGTACTCCATTTTGTACATCGCGGGGATACACCAACATTTTATATTGGTGTAATGCTAATTTTTGTTTACACATCAATACTTTGTGCTAATATAAAATTTTATTAAGACACCAACACTTTGTGTCAGTGTAAACCATTAAAATATTAATACATTTCTGTGATGGGCAAATGAGATACAAATGTTAGAGTATATGTAGCATGCTCCTTAATGTTTTTGTTGTATCCAAACAAAAATTATTGATCCGAAATAGTAACAATGGACTGCTATTATAGTACTCCGTGTTATTATTACTCCGCATTACAAAAACATTTCTGGTTCGCCAAAATCACTCCAAATGCAGCCAAATAAACTCTCATCAATCAATATCTCCCACTTGTCTTTTTGTACTGACACCAGAGCGTTGATTTGACGCCACTTCTCAGTCGTAATAAACTTATCTTTAATTTACCTTTCTGCCCCCAATTTCACTCTATTTACCTGCCCCGCCCCTTCCCCTTTATTAATCTGCGAACTTTCCCCTCTTCTTCTTCCCCATCCGTCTTTCTTCTTCTTATTCTTCTCCTTTACCCATTAATGTTCATCCGTTTCTTTGAATTTTCACCCTCGCATTGAAAAATCACCCGATTTACATTCAATTACGCCCGGAATTTTCCCAAATTCTGTTGGGTTTTCATCAAAACCGGATCTTTTTTCCTTCTCCGGCGAGGTTATACATTTTTCTCACTGGATTTATTCTCGATCAGTTTCAGATCTGAAATCTGTGGCCGGAATTTCAATTTCATAGATGTCGATGTCTTCCACGTATTGGTGTTACAGGTGCAATAGGTTTGTGAGGGTGTTGGCCCAAGATCCAATCGCCTGCCCGGATTGCAACAGCGGTTTCATCGAGGAAGTCGACACTCCGCCGCCGCGATCTTCTTTCTCCGATTCTCGTCGGCGTCGTCTCCCGACCGCTGCTGCGGCGGCGATGTACATGATGCCGAATTCGGGTCAAAATACCGTGTCGGATATTGACGCGAGCCCGAGGCTGAGGAGGAGCAGGAGAAATGGAGGAGATCGGTCTCCGTTTAACCCCGTAATTGTCCTCCGCGGTCCGGCCGATAGCGGCGCCGGGGAAGGCGGCGGCGGTGGTGGGTTCCAGCTTTATTACGACGATGGGGCCGGGTCGGGCCTGATGCCCCTACCGTCTAGCATGTCGGAGTTTCTTCTCGGGTCGGGTTTCGACAGGCTGTTGGAGCAGTTGGCTCAACTTGAAGCCAACGGATTGGGAAGAATGGAGAACCCGCCGGCGTCGAAGGCGGCGATCGAGTCAATGCCCACCGTCGAAATCGTTGACTCTCACATAGCCACAGATTCCCATTGCGCCGTCTGTAAGGATCCATTCGAGCTTTCCGGCGAGGCAAGAGAAATGCCCTGCAAACATTTATACCACTCCGATTGCATTCTCCCATGGCTATCCCTGCGAAATTCATGCCCTGTTTGCAGATTCGAGCTCCCTGTCGAAGCCGCCGGCACCCGGGATTCAGTGGAGCCCACCAGACCCCCCTCGAACGACCAAAGCCTCATCGCGAATGAAGATCAAACCGTGGGGCTAACAATCTGGAGGCTGCCCGGCGGCGGATTTGCCGTGGGAAGGTTTACCGGCGGCAGAAGGGGAGGGGAGAGGGAGCTCCCGGTGGTGTACACTGAAATGGACGGCGGATTCAACAGCAATGGGGCGCCGAGGAGGATATCCTGGGGGTCAGGAGGCAGCGTATCATCACGGCGGCGGAACGGCGGCCTGAGGAGGGCGGTGCGGAACTTGTTTGCGTGCTTTGGCGGGGGTGTTGCGTCATCAGGGTCGAGTTTTAGCTCGGATTCAAGAATAAGTCACAGTAGTGTGATGTCATCGGC